TTGGAGTTCTTCGATTAGGAAATCTTTCAGCATATGTTCGAACAGTAGCACAACAATTTCCTTCACAATAACCCAAAACTACTAACATCAGTTTGTTCAGCAAAAGTATAAATTGCAATAAAAAACAAAGTAAGCTAAAATTAAATCACAGCTAGCTTTTAATTATTGTTATGAATTTGTTTCTCTGTTATATGGTACCTCGTACTAGAATGTTCTATTTATCTTAAACTGATTTTATATTATTTAATGTGTAAAAAATGCCAATTTTACTCGAAATCCATAAACGATATCAAAATTTTGTAAGAGCAAAAAAATCTTCTAAAATAGTGCTTATTTTTAAAAATATAAATTCTGTCGTCATTGGCATACATACATAAAAGTTACGGGATAGCCAGTGGTACACAGGCACTAGAAAGAGAACATCCTGTATATGTATTCTCACCAAATTCTATATTTACTTTGCTCTTATATAAAAAAATATGTGTACCAAATTTGAAGTTTCTAAGAAAAACAGTTTTCAAATTATTTGAAAAAAACTAAGTTATCTGTTCTATATTTAGAAGGATATATCTCAGTAGGCGTGCACTTTTGTACATAGGTAAGTTAGGCTAAATAGTCTTGTTTTCATCCAAGGAAACCGTGGTCAGGCGTTGTCCATCCTTTTCAGGGACACCCTGTAGATAAAAAGTCGACGACATTAATACATCATCCCTTTTTACACACATAATCTTCTCCCTCGAACCTATGTTAGGATGTTAATATTTAAGATTCCAATCTGAAATTACGAGAGGTCGTCCCCAGGGTGTTCTGACACCAGCCTAGCCTGTTGTGTAATTCAGTTTACAACCCACAATTTACTAATGAAGTTGTTTGTTCGGCTCGACATGATGGAATACGTGCTGCTAATGGTGCGGTTTGATTAACTATTATATCAGTACGACTGTACTGAAGTAAATAACACTTCGTCAGCATCCCAGGCGTTTGTACAAGGCAACGATATATTTTTAAAGGGGAAAGGTCTTTCCAGAAGTTAATGGTGACTTTATACTGGGAGGTTCAGGATTAGGAACTGTCGTTCATTTATATTGTAGAGAAAGTCACTCTAGTACACATTGCTTATACAGAAGCGGAATTTACAGGATTATTTGTTTGAGAAGGCAGTGAATGCCAGTGAGAACAAAATCTAAAGTAGCACAATTGAAGGAGTCACCGAAACAGCTTATGGAAATGATGATGGCAATGAAAGATAATACGAAGGCATCACTCAAAAGTGACTTGAGAAATCAGTTACAGAGAATGAGACATATATGACATGAAGAAACAATTAGATGAAGATACGAAGAGAAAAATTTTGAATCTGATGTTCCTAACAGTATGTCATTTGATGCATCCTTGCATCCACATGACTACCAGAATAACACCAGCCAGCAAAATCTTCGGTAGAGAATTGTGGCTACTCTTCGACATTGTGTTTGGTCACACAGAAGATTAAACTGACATACCAGAAGGCTGCCTATCCGAGTTAGGCAAAAAAGTCTCCAGAAGAGTCTGGAGTCATTTGGGTCTGGAGTCTGGGGTCTGGAGTTTGGAGTCTTTTGGGTCTAGAGTCTCTTGGGAAGGCCCTTATGTGGTGATCAAGAGATCGACGACGTAGTCTACAGGACACAGAGAGGACCCAGAGCAAAAATGAAAAATTAAAATATTGTACAAACTTTCAAGAGCAAATATATGATATCTATTGTATTAATTTCGTGAGATGTAAATTTTTTCTTACCTTTACTTGCTTATATTATGATTCATCTTCTTCTCACCAGACCTATTTTCTTCTTGTTGAGCGCCAGCTCATGTGAGCATTAAATTTTAATTTAAATTTTGTCTGCTAAATCTTTCCCTACTCTATCCTACGCCAAATCGTGAACTAAATCTTAAACTAAACAATGATATTCAACAATTAGATATTCCGTATTTTTAACACATTTAACTCTTTATATACCTTCCTTAGTCTGCCTCAGCACAATATTTCTTATTCCTTTGTCCTTGTTATATTTCACGTTCTACTCTGCATCTAGTCTTATCAATATTGTTGGTTTAGCATCTGTCATTTTATTCCATGTATGGTATTCTCGTCTGCTGTTCCGTTCTTCCTCTCTCCTGATTGTGAATTAGGTTATGTTATTTTCCCTACAGGTTGTTTTATTCTCTATAACAGGATTTACTTTTGTATTGTCGTTTACTAGACTTACTTGTGCCCATTTATTCTGTGAACTTCATTCAAATAGTGCATAAAATTTGTTTTCATGTACTCCCTGGTATTGGTATGTTTTCCTTTTCTTATCACTTTCTAACTTTCTTTGGACAATAACACCTTCTTCTTTATTTCATCAAACTTATACTCTTCAACTTCTATTCTTCATAGAAATTTTTAATTCTTCTTGATTATTCTTCGACCATAACTTATTTATTTTTCTTTATTTCATAAAAATTCTTTAAACTTTATACAATTTTTTTTTCTTATTGATCCCTTTCGTCTCCTAGTTACCCGACACTTTTCTTTTAAATCACATTCTTAATTCTATTAATACAAATCTTTTTACCAATCACAAATATAAATTTTGAATATAATTCAATACATGACATTTAATTAAACTTTTGTTTGAAATCCTCTTTCTCTGATTATTCTATCTGTTATACACTAATTTCAATTTATTTTGTTTTCTTTTTTAATTTCAAATGCCTCCTTCTCTTGTATTAGTTGATTTCTGTCAATTCTTACTACCTTGGTTAAACAACTTTATATCTATTTTTATAATTTTTTAAACTTGCCTTTCCCTTTATTATTTAAATTCCTTGCCACTACTATTCATTCTATTATAGGATCTATATATTACTGCAATAAAAAAAGAAGAGGATTAAAAAATTACATAAATATAAAGGTTGGTTATCTTTAAAAAAATCAAAATATTGGTCTATATCTTTTCCATATCTCGCATATATGTCTTAGATATTGCAACAAAACTTCCTAAATCTTCTTCTATACCACTCATTCCTAAATAGAAATGAAAAAAGAGGTGGCTAGGATTACGTGAATTACCCTGTACATAAAAAAGCTACAAACGACCTTATTGTACAAATTTTAATGGAAATTGGAATGCATTTAGCGCTGTATCTCCTCATCAGCACGAACTAAATAGGACGGTGAAATACGGATTTAAGTCAAACAAATATTCCTCTTCTAATTTTGATAAAGCATCATTTCCATCGCCTTTTCGTGTAATAAAGACTAACGACGCGAGTCTGCTTACAACGAATAGTTTATTTTCCAACTAATTACAAACAACGAGAGTCCAAATTACGTTAATTACACTACATTAAGTTCGCCATAGTCAAGCTCGGTATATTTTCATGTTTGTGTGTGAAACTTTTCCACTCAGGGGAACTATTTAGGGCCACATTGGCACACGGTGAAGCACAAAGCCGAACCAGTGGGCAGGAAGATTTGGTCATTGCAACCGTCACGGAAAACTTGCCATAACAAGAGAGAATAAATAAATAATAAATATGGGCAATTTAAATGTTTTATTCCATTTTTAGTAACTTTACAAATAATGTAATAACAACATAAATACAAAGTACTCTAGCAACCTATGATACAGCATGTTCAAAAAACACACATACAAATACAGAAGCAAGATTATCTTAGGTTATTTTTGCGGTATTGCTTAAAAATGAATTGTTAGACTCATTTTTAGGAGAAACGCATGAAATCAAAGCGCGAATACAAAAATCACTCTGTATACTTTATAATAGTACATGTCTAAAAACAAACATATATATCTACAAACAAATCCCAATGGGGAAACTATTATTTACAATATACAAAGACCTACACACTTAACTCGTTCCACGAACATATACAGGGTGTTGGAAAATGTGCAACAAGAAATATTTTACTGTAAACTGCTTGGCAAACTGCTATTTAGTAGTAATATAAGTAAAGCAAATTGCTCCTGCGGAATGGTGAATGACTATTGACCTGCGACTAGATTTTATATAACACCCTGTACCTTATTCGTATTAGAAGAACATTACATAAACCTAACGTATCTTGGTACAAGCGTATATGAATATAGTATAAATATAATAATGAATAAAGACTTTGACAGATAGAAATTAACGACAATTGAAAAATTGTCATTCTGGTGATGTTTAATTAATAGTTAGTGTTAAATTAAATTGAACACCATGCCGAATACACCCTATTGTTGTTAATGGAGTGCTAGAAGTGACGTCACGCTAGTGGGTAGCCCCAGTTATCTTCAGTGATTCCCTAACATTTAATTTATTCTATTGGTTAGTGCAGAAAGAAGTCGCGTTATACTTAAAACTTAAAACTAACAGTTTTACCTACTTAAATTATGTCAATCACGTCACGCTGATATATCTACTGTTTGTCTGTCTAAATGACGCCACTCCTAACACTATATTATTATTAAAATGATGGTCTTTACTAAACAGATCACATTGTATAGTTTTAATACATAGAACGGCTTATTCTTTGTAGTATATAAAAATGGGAAGGGATGCCCACTTATTAGTGATGTTACAACTAGTCTTCTGTTTTTTGTTGAGTAAAATTTTCTAGTTGCATTATGGAATTGTATTAGAGAAGGAAAGAAGATATATATTTAAAAGGTCATGATGCCTGTGCCAATAGAAAGGAGTGATAATAAATAAGGCTGTTAGTGAGAGCAGCAATTCAATGCCGTGCCAAGGTCAGTCGAGACATGCGTGAACAGCTGCCTCAAAATGCTTTTCACGTTCATGTCACGCTAGTATACTGTTGCTTTGTTATCTGCGGATGTTGCGTAATTATCCGTTGGTTTTTATGGTGGTTACTGCAGACAATTTAATTTGTTGCTTATATCGCTCGGCTCAGTTCTGACAGTCCTAATAATAAATAGAATTTAAGCTTTTCGACACGTTTTATTTTTATATGGGATAAAAAAGTTTCCAAAAAATATACGGCGTAGTTAATGCTTATGTATTTAAAATATATTTCACAAAAAAAATATGAAATCAAACTAATTTGCATTTCTTTCCTTGCCTAAAGATACTACGAATTAAATTTTTGGGTTTTTGGTCCTCCTTTGTCAACAAAATTCAGAGAAAGAAGAATTTCATAAAAAATAAATCAAGCTGTTTGTTATATAAGGAACAGTTTTTGATCTTATTGAAAGTGTATTTTATGGACATGGACTTAAAAAACTTTGAAAATTTTACGCAATTTGGTTATTTGTATAAATAATAATACATGTATCAAATTGTGTGTTATCTCTTTTGATAATTTTCAGTTGATGGTATGGGATATTCTCCTTTCTCTCTAATTTTGCTTAATCTTCGTGGACTTAGGAGTAAATGATGTCATATACAGAGCGAGGTAAATGATCTGCGATGAAGGCTTGGATTTTTTCTTTCCTCGAGACAGGGGTGTACTTCTTCAGGGGGAAGGTTCGAATCACAGCATCGTTTAGGGCTTTCAGCACCGGAGACAAGTCACATTCCTGTAACAAAAAGAAAAGACAAATACAGGATGATTCATTAACAATGGGAAAATCGAAAGCTGAAGATACTACACGTGAAATGGTGACCATTGGCGCAAACATGCCTTATCCGAAAGTTGATAATTTCGGAAATACAGGGTGTTCAAAGTTAAAATTTTAAATCGTTTTTTTGCGATTATTCTGAAAATATGTAGGTTAGGAACTTGAAAATTTGTGAAACTATATTTTTTTATGCGACGAATGAGGCGCGTGTTGTAAATTCAGCGTTGCTCATAGAGGGCGCCACATACGACCAATTTTACCGAAAATTTAGTTAATAACTTTTTACCCTGTATGTCTAACATGAAACTTGATTCAAAACCTGAAAGAGCAATCATTTTTCCATTAATTATGTACTCTTGTTTCATTTCGGTATCTCGATTCGTTTTCGAGAAAAATCGATTTAACGAACACTATATTTTGATAATACGAGAAATTAAAAGCGAAACAAACCAAGTGTTTCTTCGTGTTATTACAACAATTAACAATAAAACAAATGAAATCGTAATAATGATTTAAAGTCGGTGTTCCAAGAATCCACCGTTGACATTTACACACTTTACACAACAGTTTCTGAGAGATCTTCGAGTTTGAAACAACATATTGGGATTCCGTTTGACTTCGTTGGCAGCGATTTGTATTCTTTGCCACAACTTTTCAAACGAACCAATAGATTCTTCCAAGTAGAAAAATGAAGAGGATTTAAGTCCGGATTTCTGGGTGGCCAAGAAAAAATGCTTCCACGGCTTGAAGAAGTTCCACTTTATTTAAGAAGAGACATGTGGTTTATGCACGACGGAGCTCCACTGCAGTTTTCTTGGCCAGTACGTGCATACTTAGATGCAGTTTTTCCAAATCGCTGGATTGGCCATGTAATCATTTTTGCTTGGCCATCCAGAAGTCCGGACTTCAATCCTCTTGATTTTTCTATTTGGTCTCGAATGAAAGATATAGTTTACAAATAATCTATTGGTTCGCGTGAAGAGTTGTGGCAATATTGCAATAGGGTTGACTGTTTCACTCCTTTATAAAATACGCCAATGATCGAACAAATATTGAAAAGTTGTCTCTTTATTAGTAGGATGCTCATTCCAAGTTTCGTGTCTCTAACATTCCTCATGTTAAAGAAGAAAAATTAAATGTGAATTTCAATCCCCTCCTTTAAGAGGGTATATCGCCTCAGGGGTGCAACTTTCATATAAGGTATTTTTACTTCAATCCTCTTATTTTTGGCTCTACATTCACTGGTACCATTTTTGCTGCTTCATTTAAAAACATCCTGTATATTCTTTTATAAAAAAAGATATACCATAGAATGTGACAGTGAATGATATTGACATGAAGACGGGAAAGGGGTATTGTTAACTGGATCTGGGTTTATGTCCTTTTTAAAATTTAAAAAACCTCAAAGGATATAGTACAAATTTACAGATCTTTCACGTATATGTTTTCGTTTATATTGCTGATATAAAGTTTTGCACATAATTGGAAACATGTTTGATGTTTTGAAGTGGGATCAAAGATAATAATTTGAACCGATCCAAAGGCCGAAGGTTCTCGATATTCCCTCTCTAAACCATTTTACGTTCGTTATCAAGAAAAATACCAGATGAATATATTTTTATAAATCCACAGTGAAAACAAGGACAGCAGCTCTTGTTAGCTGCTGTGTTTTTCAGTTTATTTTTGATATAAGTTACATGAAGAAAATTGCAATTATATTTCCAATAATAGCTCTCTATTTGACAGCTATTTTTAAAAGCAGTATTAACTACAACTGAGATCCTACTACATTTTAATGTTTTTAAATAATATGAATGATCTACGATGTGTGCTGTTTTTTGGTTAAATATTTTTCACATAATCTAAATTAAATTTCTCAACAACTACAATATTTATATTAAATTTTCAGAAAGTTTTACATTAATAGTTCATGTAGTAAGAGCAGTAGGAAAAGTTAACGTTAATAAACGGCCTGCAGGCGGGGAAAGGAGCGCCGGGCCCGCACATGCGCGTGAATGCCGCCCTCGTCGCGCGCGAGGTTTTTGACTTGAATGTTTCATATTCGGTTAAAATAAAAAAATTGTCGAAATTACCTTCATGACAAAATAATCATGATTCGACTTCTTTGTTTATATCCCGATTTTTTTTAAGAAACGGTATTAATTTCGGGAATTTTGAAATATCACTTTTTTCTTGGGTTATCATTACTTTTTTCTTTTCGAAGAATTCTTTGAAAATTGGTATGCATTTTCGCACCTTTCCTGGATTTCATTGGTAATAATTCATCACTGTCGGTAGTAACCGCTTTTTTAATATCGAATGGAATGTTTTCATCGTCACTTTCATCGCCATTTACACTTAGGGACTTGTAAAAGTAAACTGTTCTTGTTGTATTTTATAAATTTCTTTGTAATCGCATGAAAATTTCCTAAAACTTTAGTAAATACCATTTGTTCCTAGATCGAAGGGTAAAAATAGATAATGAGGGTAGAACAATGTGAACAACCCTGCACTGGCAGCAATCCCGCCGCGTATACACATCTAAACGGAATACGGGCTTAAATCCTTGTACGTGACCGAGAGGACAATGCCGCGCGATTTTTAGAGCCCCCTGATTTGATCCGATTGTTCTCGTTCAAGGATTCGTGTCCCGTGACCGGAAAATTGTGTTAAGATGTGTTTGCCTCGGTATTCGCTATCGCTTGTTCCTCGGCGGTCTCTCTAATTTTTATGCAGCAATAAAGTAGGTCTTGAGCGCTGAACAGTCGAGATATAAGAGCGCAGCGGCCTAGCCGAGCGTCCATTGTCTGGGAAATTCATTAGCGTTGCTTGGGAAGTCGAGGCGAGTTTAATAAAGGTGACGGGTATTTTAAAACCATAAAAGTTGCGATGTCTTAATGCACGGGATAAGTTATACTTATTAGTTGGGAATCCTCTAATTAATTAAATTAAAAATAATTTTGAAACTAGAGTTTAAAAACATTTGAAACAATTTTTATCTCTGTAACAATTTACCGCAGAGGAACCATATTTGGTACATGATGTAGGTTTATTACTGGTCTTCTTTGACTGTGATTTAAAGTTAATTGAAGCACTACAAGGTGTTTATTGGGGATGACTCACCCCTAAAATTGTTCAGAACTTTTTTATTATTGAGCGAATTGAAAAATAATAATATTAATTCACAGCAGAATTTAATTTAAAAATTGTTTTACTCTTGTTAAATTTAAAAAAACTGGTTTTTAAGAAAAACCGTATTAACTGAAACAAGATTTTAACAGTGTTTATTAGAAAATAATCGAAAGGTCAGTAGTAGGCAATTAATCTATCTTTCAAACTTGTCAGTTAGTAATAAAATTATTTTATTTCAACAATTGCCTTTGATTGTTGTTTAAAAAATATTAATATTAGTAGTATTTTTATTATTTATTTGTGTTTTTTACTTAATACAATATTCGCTTATTTAAAAACTACCTATGTACTTGTTTTTTTTTTTTGTAGAATTGGGAGAGAAGTAAAGTAAAATTTATTTGGCCAATTGTCAAAGTTGAAAGATAAAGCATACTACTGACTTTTTGATTATTTTCTAATGGATACTGTTAAAATCTTCTGTCAGTTAATACGGTTTTTCTTGAAAATCATAAAGTTATTTAAATTTAACAAAAGTAAAAAGAAATTTAAAATTAAATTCGGCTGTGAATTAATATTTACTATTGCTCAATTTGGTCAATGAAAAAAAGTTCGGTACAATTTTAAGGGTGAGTCATCCCCAATGAACACCTTGTAGTGCTTCAATTAACTCTAAATCATAGTCAAAGAAAACCTGTAATAAACGTAATCATGTACCAAATTTGGTTCTTCTGCGGTAAAGTGTTGCAGAGATATTAATTTTTTAGTAGGTAAGTTTGGTTAAATTACAATATTTTAGACACCCTTGCTCTGTGTCGGTTCCTATGCGGGACACCCTGTATAAATGTTATCCTATGTGGACTATCGAATGTATTTTGCTAGCAGCCGAGTTAAATTACATTGAAAAATATCCAGAATGTTTTCATTGCCCATGTCAACAAAAATGAAATGAGACGCTCCATCATATCAGCCGAAGGAAATTGAAATGTCGTTTCGCAAAAGATATATCATTTTGGAAAAGAAAACTCGGGGGAAATGACATTTGGTTTGTATTTAGGGTCCAAAAATTCATTTTTTTTTCAAACAAATATGTAATTGCAAATATTCATATAAAAACTTCCGTATTATTTTCAATATTTCTTCTTCTATATCTCACCTTTAAGTGTATTATTAAAACATGAGTAATACGATTTTTTCATAAATACAAGCGATATTCTATGAGATGTTATAAAAACTTAAAATATTTACAAAATAAAGTTAAAATATTACGTTAAATATTAAAAATCTTATTATGTTGTTGCGTTGGCGGTGCCAACAACGGCCAGTAATAGCGGCTAGCTATTTACAACACACTCTGGACAAGGAAACGACCCTATCAGCTATCTACAATGTACCCCTTTAAAATATCACTGCCAAGCCAGGAAGTCACAATAAAACTAACGTTACGGGCCTTTCCTTACATTTTTCTCATTTAATGAACTCGAAGTTAAGCTCGCTTACCAAGCTTTATAAATAACAACTACAATGCATTCGCAGCTGTGCATAAAAAGCACACCTAACACCACCTAATCTTGTAGTTTTACTGATACGAGGCGTAACCCTATCCGGAGCAAAGTCTACGCTATGCAGAATACCAAAATACTAATTTGCAAACTGGCGCGGGAAGAAAATTACTGCCAGCTCTTTCTCGAGGTCCCGGGAGGGATCTTGAATTAAATAAAAACATTACTTCGCTTCTAAACTGTTAGTTAACTTTTAGAAGCACAGGCTTTAGAAATTACACATTATTATGTTACAGAAAAGGAAAAAACAGTGCAATGTATTCGAAA